TTAAGTTCGAACTAACGGAGCGCTAGTGTAGCGCCTATGAAAGTTAGTTCGAACTAACGTCCGTTAGTTCGATCTACCTTTGTAGTGTAGACATACCCCCAGGGATTATTAATGGGGAAGAGCTTTTTTTTCCCCCACCTGAATGTCACAAATTGAAATCCAGCCCAGGTCAGAACTGAGAATGGTTATCATGCAATGAGTGTACAAAGTGAACTTAGTCTCATTTCTGTTAGAAAGGTGGCTAGTGCACGGCTCACTTGCTCTGAGCAGTCTCAGTAAGTTTTGCATAGGCATGGAGACTGTTTCCATTGCCAACTGATCTGCAAACCTCGTCCCTCCAGTCACAGGTGAGGCGCTGTGTCAGGGCAGTCTGCAGGGAGCCTGTGCAGCCGGTACTTAACACTGGCTAATTCAGCACTGCCTTCACTCAGCACTACCTCAAAAAATGTTCAAAGCAAATAAAACACATAAAATGCCGACTTTTCCTGATGTAGAAACACGTATCGCTTTATGGGCCTGATTTTTCAAAGGGGCAGTTCCATAGAGGATGCAATGACAGGTGAGCTACTGTGGATGAACTAACACTTCAATTCCAAAGGTTTGTTCATCCCATTGTCTAGACGTGCCGTGTTTGGGATTAGATGACATAGTGGTACCAGCCCAGTGTTCTATCATATTTACTTATTTACCTTACAGGCACCGTATGAGATTTAACTAGTTGATATTTATGGTGCCAAGAGTCAGGTAAGTATTGAGGGGGGACTGAGATTAGACTGTGAATTAAGGGAGGGAGATTAGGACTGGGAGTCTGTGATTAGGATGGAGAGACAGAACAGATGAGGGGCCAGGAAGGGGGGAGTGGGACTGGCTGTGCACAGAGAATGAAACTGAATGTGAGGAAGGGAACAGAATGGAAGCTGGGGCGGGAGGAGGGGAGACTGGAGCTTGGGCAGAGCCCGGGGGGGGAGGGGTCAGAACTGCCTGAGCAAGAATTGTAGGACTGGAATGAGAAGCCTAATGAGTGGTGATCAGGACTAGACAGGTGAGGAGAATGAAAACAGGACAAGGGGGCCGGGAGGAGACAGGATGGGGGGGGGGGGGAAAGCAGGA